TTCAACAACAGACGGATTTTAATTGACACAGGCGGAAAGAACCCACTCACAAGACCTCCATGTCTCGTGGCTCCCCTATATCGAGTCCGCTAGGTCTAGATTTATTACTCCACATTCTCATATTTCATGATCACATAAGTAACCAAAGATCCATTTAAAATTCGCAAGTGACAGGTAATCACCCGACTTTCATCGTTCTAAGCATAGCTAAGCATAACTAGGCATATACGAATTAAAACTGGTAACAAGGTAGATATGGAAAAACAAGGTTGGTAATGCACCAATTAGGTTTTCACTTAACTCCTAATCACTTAATGCAGTAAAGAAAAGCAAAAGTGAAATCAATTTGTAAAACACAAGGTAGGTTTAAATGCATCCGGGGCTTGTCTTCGTTGACGGATAAGTTAGGTTCCGGAGTCGTTCCACAATTATCAAATCTGACCTCAACAGGCGGATTAACTTCTTCCACAACTTGATTAACTACCACGTGCTCACCTTTGTTCACTACACGTAGTAACAATGCCATATTTAATATGATGCGAGATATAAAACATGATGCTTGATGATGGATGCAAAATTAACAACTTGAATACAACTTTTCTTCGCGGTACAGTTACAAGTCAAACTAACTAAATCTTTTTTGTAACACTTAATTCCATTGCCAAGGATCATTATCAACTAATGACCCAAGGTCATCACTCAATCCAAAATTCAATCAAAACTTAAATCATTAAAGGTTACTATTTGCTTTTATGAATTAATTATTTAATTAAAAATTATGAAATAAATCAAATTGTTCCAATTGAGTCCAAATTTTTTGTAAATGTTCATCACATGATAACTAAGTGGCAAAACAATTTTTATAATTTTTGGATAATTATTCAAGCCTAGAAAAATCATGGAAACTCATTTATTAATTAATTGAGTAATTTTTACCACATTCAAAAAGTATTGAAAAACAACATTTCATATTTTTCCTAAATAATATACACCATAGAGAAGTCACACAAAAATTTTCATAATTTTTGGAGCTCTAATTAATTCTACACAAAAATAACAAAAACTATCACTATTCATCCATTTCTGAAAATAGAAAAAATCCATTTTGAACTCACGGTCACTGACACCTTGACCCCACCTGTCATCCCCTTCCTCCTGCGTTGGCTACGGTGACGACGCGCTGACCGGTGATTTCTCGCCGCCGGTGAGATCAACGGCGATGGCAAGGGCACCACCGTGATCACCACGACGAGGCGCATCGATTGGTGGCACAAGCTAACTCAATTACAACACGATTCAAGCTTAACACCGACCATGGCGGCTCGGCCGAGCAGGGCACGGCGGTGCCGCGGCATTCTAACCGCAAGAGCTCGCTAGAGCTACCTACAACTACTCGGATAGCATCAACGACTCACCCAGATCGGAATAGCGCACTGGTTGACCGCGAGCAGCAAAGGGGCACTTCTGTCGACGTTGATGGTGATGGCGGCAATGGCAAGCTCAACGTCCGGTGGCGTATAGCTCCGGCCACGGTGAAGTAGGGTCACCGGTGACACTACCGGCCACGAGGAAGAAAGACAACGCACCGCGTATCTCGGCGATAACAGGCGCCCACTACTAGTCGGTTGGGTTCGCAAAGAGTGGGCGAAGCTGCGATAGGCTTGGCTGTGACGGTGAAGCACTATGGCGATGGCGCGTGGGCTCGACGGAGATGATCGACGGCGTCGAGAAAAGCAGAGGAAGGAGAAAGAGCGACGGCGACGGCGTCCTGGCCTTTATAACACGGTCAAGGCACACGAAAAATGGCGCCCAGCAGCTTCTCCACGCCAGCGCGACATCGAAACTGGCCACGAGCGCACCTGGAACCGAGAAGAAGGTCGCCAGCGGTGAGGTGGCTTCCACGGGCATTGTTCCCCATATTTACAGAATTGCCATTCATCAAAATCTTCAAATTACTCCCAAATTTATGTGGCAACTCAAAAATCTCCAAAAATAAAAGTTGTTCCAAATTCAAAGTTCTACAACTTTGCTTTTATAACCACCCCCTAATTCGGTCTACATTTTGAAATGTAAGTTTGAATTCAAAAATGGGACATTTAAAGAATTACGCCTTTTCAAATTACTTCAAATTTTTCTAAACAACTTTGAAAACTCCAAAAACTAACTTTGTACAACTCAACAAGTTCTACACTTTTGTTTTAAGGCTCAACCCAAAAATGTACTTCGATTTTGAATTAGGTTTTTCGGGGTAAAACAAATCACTGGAAATCAGGGTTTTCAAAATCCAAATCCATACAAAGATTTCAAACTTGATTCAATCCACACAAGTCAACACATATAAACATAAATGTAAACTTATTTTAGTGAATTCATAATCATTTGTATTAATATTATTTCAGGTAATATATAAAACACTCCATAAATAACATTGGCATGCTATAATATAAACATGAAATGCATTAATGACTTGATGCTTGATAATTATGCATAATGATGATCATGATAAAAATTTTAATTACTTTTTAACATCTGGGATGTTGTATATGCCCACCGTAGTAGATGAATCGGTGGAGGTGCGTGTAATAGGAGCCGGATGGTGACACAAGCGCAGAGACAAGCGGTTTATACATGTTTATGCCGTCTGATCGATGTAATACCTTACATCCTATGTCTTTGGTGGATTGTATTGAATATGAGATCCATTCGAGGGGGTCCCTACCCGCCTTATATAGTCTAGGGGTAGGGTTACAATTCAGTTTAGACCTAGATCTATTCGGTTATATGGTAAGTATTTACAAGGAATACGATATCTATCGTATCAAAAAGATCTTCCTTCATCGTCAAGCTGTCTTTGAATTGTCTTGCGGTGCATGCCGATCAGAGCCGAGCACCATAGGTCTTGATCTTATGGGCTGAATCTCCCCTGGTGGTGCGATCCATGTCTATTACCGTGGGTACCTGGGGTTATACCCCACATGTGTCAGTTGTCCTAGCTTAAGTTTCTATCTACGTGTTGAACCTTAAATACTCTTTCAAATACTCCATGCTGTTTCAGCGCGTGCAGTGGCATGCCTAAGAAATGCTAGTGGCTGGATGTTGGAATCTTTTTCACTATCTGAATCCTTTGAGCTGTTCAGTTTGGAAAAGAGGTGGATGAGAACTAGTTGGATAATGGCATCTTATAATATGCTTGTCTCTTGTGTGAATTGCAGATGCATGATCGGGAATAGTCACTTGTTAGTGATGAACTCGCTAAGGTCTGTTCGGTGATGAATCGGTTGAAGCTGTTTTGTTCTGAGAGAAAAATATTGTAGATTAGCTGATAAGCCGGCTGATAAGCTCAAGTGAACAGGTTTTCTTTCCGAATAGTAGAATTACTCAGTTTAGAAGAGGAGGGGGTGGGAATATAATATGGTTTCTGTTGTCTCTTGTCTGAAGATGTTTGATCCGGAGCATTCAAAACTCACCAGCAGCAGCATAAGCATTTCTAGTGATTGGTGATGAACACAACTAGTATTAGCAACATGATTACTACCGAGGGATGAACTTTCTCATATCATTTGAGCCCTCGCTGTTGAGGTGTTGTGATTGTGGAAAGACAGAAAACAAGGTTCACGAATGAAGTTGGGCGTTACCGACTGCTTTCCTCTCCCTCTGCATATGGATGTAATGTAACTGTCTGAGTTGTGTTCTGCACTGTCTATATTTCTGGAGTACATAGGTTTTTTGTTTCTCAAATTCTTGACGGTAGAGTAGTAACTTGCTACTATGTTGGTAGTGGGGACTGAATGGCTGCAAATTTACTAATTTAGGTTTGAATTGAGGAGTTTGGGAGTGTCAGATAATGGCTCAATGTGCTAGGAGTGACAATGAAATAAATGGGACTCTGAACTTTTAAACACTACCCTGTTCGCTGGTTGGTGCTGGTGCTGGTTTAGACTGGCTGGTGCTGGTTTTTTTGAAAGAAAAACACTATTGACTGGTTAAATAAGCCTGGCTGAAACCAGCAAGCAAACAGGTGTGCCTACGCCATGCTGCTACGTGACCACTGCGATTGCCTGCAAGTGCCGGCTGAAGAAGCTCATGTCAATACGGAGGCCCTGAGAAGATGAATCCTTCACTGTCAAAATGTCTGATACAATGTGCAGTGTGATTACAACAGTGAAGACATCTCTCCACTCCCTAATTCAATGCTGCATGTAACTGCAACAGTAAAAGAAGCCCTTTAAACACCCTCTGAAGTCTGAACCAATGTACTAGCACATTAGCACATTATAACTAAAGCAGTAGTACAGTACTACTACACTGTCTATAGCCTGTTCGAGAGGCCGTATCGTATCGTGAATTATTTACTGTTGACTGGTTTGATGTGAGAGAAAAACACTGTTCTCAGCTGGAAATTTGCGATCGTTTACGAGCCAGCAAACAGGCTTCTAATTCGCTGTCCACTGTAATAATAAGTCTGTAACTGCAAGTCTACAAGAGTAAAATAGGGGTACAAGTTCTCAGAAGAAAAAGATAGGAAAGAGAGGTCATCAGAGACGGAGGCAAGGAGACCAAGCTGCAGAGTTACCATGATCACCAGACTAAAGCATGCAGAGTCAAAAGGTGAAAGCAATCAATCAGGCGACACTTTGCTTCAGCAAGCAAGAGATGCAGGCTCGGGAGTTGAAACAAAATTCGAATCCCAGAAAGCAAGGCAAAAATCAAAAAAGAAATCGAACAACAAATTGATATTTTCTCATTGTTTCCTACCGAACTGCAGATCGATCAGGCAGCCGCAGAGGCAGGCTCCACACGATTCATGTATGTATCTCATAATACAGTGCAGCTTCAAAATTACTGGGTTCGGTTCATCTGATCCTCGTCTCGTCTCCTGTGGACCATTCCCTAACGAACAGGGAAGTGAACGAACGCTGTCTCCACTCTCCATCCATTGGGATCGCCATGGATTTCTGCAATGCCATCGAGCAGAATGGCATGAGCAGAATGCCATCGGGTCAGTTGCTGGAGTTGGGGCCGTAGCAGGCGCCGCGGACGGGGTTCCAGAGCCACTGCACGAGGAACCGCCGGCCGTTGACGCCGTTCACGTTGTAGGCGCTGCCATCGGGCGCGCGGGACACGTTCCCGACCATGCCGCCCGCGCCGCCGCCGTCACCGTACACGCCCAGGCACAGGTCCGCGATCTCGGTCGGCGCCGTCGGCGTGTCCCCGGCGTACCACGCGTTCACCAGCGGGTCCGTGGACATCTCCGCCAGCTCGTGCCCCAGCACGATCACCATCCCGTCCACCCCGGCGTCGCCGTTGGGCGGCCGCAGCACCGCCTGGGCTCCCCCGCCGCCGTACTCGGCGGCCGCGGCGAACGGGTACGCGCACTTGCCGGGGCACTGCGTGGCGCTGTTCCCGACCCAGGCGTAGGGCACCGTGACCCCGACCACGGACGCGAAGGTGAAGTAGTGGAAGCCGCAGACGGCGCGGCAGAACTCGTCCACCTGCACGTCGGGGGACGTCAGCACCAGGTACGCGCCGCTGTAGGGGTCCAGCGGCAGCGGGTCCGGGTACGCGTACACCGCCGACCGGATCACGGACTGCACGTCGATGCGCCGGAGCGACGCGCCGTGGGAGTAGCCCGCGTCGGAGTGCTCCCCGGCGACGGCGAAGGCGCCCGTCACGTTGGCGCCCGTCTGGTCAGCGTACATCCGCGGCGTGTGCGCCCACCAGTCGGAGACGGCCGGGAACGGCGCCGGCGCCGAGAGCGAGGCGAGGAAGTCCCGGAGCACGGTCTGCGCCGCGGCCTCCCACCGCCCGTACCAGATGAGGTACAGGTTGGTCGGCGACCCGGACACGACGGGGCCCATGTGGTACTGCATGTCCACCAGCTGGTTCCCGTCAACCAGGTAGTCCGCGCGGTACACCGGCGCGCCCCGGACGGCAGCGATGCTGCTGCTGGAGATGCAGATCGCCGCGGCAGCGGCGGCGGCGAGGAGGAGGGGGGAAGGGTGGCGAGGGAGCAGCCTCCCCATTTCGGTGGGATGCGTGGACTGGAGTGGAGTGAAGGCTGAAAGTGAGTCACCGAGCTGGCAGCTGGGTTTTTGGTGCCTTTTGAGTTTGAACAAACGCTCACGCTTTTTTTTTTAAGAAAAAAGAAGTTTCGGGTACAGTATTCTAAACAGACCATTGCATTAATACAATTAAACATACTATTGCATTAAACAGACTTTGTGTTTAAGGCCTTGTTTAGATACCCTCAAAATTTCAAGTTTTTTCACTCTCTCTCCATCACATCAATTTTTAGCTATTTGCATGGAGCATTAAATGTAAATAAAAAAATAACTAATTACACAGTTTAGTTGGAAATCACGAGCTGAATCTTTTGAGCTTAGTTGGTCCACGATTGAACAATATTTATCAAATAAGACGAAAGTACTACTATTTATCGGGTTGAAATTTTTTTCAATCTAAACCAGGCCTAAAATTAAGAGGCTAGTAGGTTTGAAGTACATATCTTTTTCGAAAGATCAGTTTCAAGTACATACTGTATCAAATTTAGCGTAGAATATGTCGTACGTCGAGTCCACTATGCAATCAATAAATTTTCTTTAAAAGAAATGGAGAGACCCAACGTAGAAGTTTTTTTTTTTACTGAAAAGATGGAACTTTGGCATCCAAAATCGAATGTTGAGAAAGACTTGAATCAAGGTGGCTTTAATAAATTTCATTAACTCGGTATCCAAAGCTTAAGAGATTTGGCTATAATTTTTGTAATATAAGACAGCATGCATCTACGAGTAAAAAATTGATATGAAATTGCCAAGAAACAGAATCACCAACGTTTCCTATTGAGAAACCAAAATCGATATGAAACTCTTTAGGATAGGATCAAATTGACAAGAGTACAAGACCCGGACTCTCTCTAGGACGTTTTGATCCATAGAAATTACACGGTAATCCATCAACTCATGGTTTACATAGTTCATCTTATCTTGTGTCGGTGTTTCGGACCGAGGGGGTCCTTAACTAACCAGTGAATTTGAATTACGTGCCCCTAATTCCGGATGGTGATGCAAAAAGACACAAGGTTTATACTGGTTCAGACAATTGGTGCCCTACGTCCAGTCTGAGAGATCGGTCTTGTATTCCTTGCACCGAAGTGCTTGTAGTAGGGGGTTACAAGCTGGGTGAGAGAGGGAGCTAGTCCCAGGTCTCGGCGTGGAACGGTGTGAGGTGCTTGAGACGCTGCTCTCAAGCAGCTTGGGAGCGTTGATGTTATAGGATGTGTCTAGGGCGCATATGGGAGCGCGGTTCTATCGTATCTTCTTCTTTTTCTCCCTCTTGAGCTATCCCTGGCCGCTTACTTTTATAACCGCAAGGAAGGAGCCAGGAGTACATGAGTGAGCTACACGTGGAGCCTACTGTAGTTTTGTCCTGTAGCAGCATGGCGTTGGGAATGGAGATCGGTACTTGTCTGGCGCGCCGTGCTGGTCAGGTTTGAAGTGGTTGAGGTCGTGGGGGTCCTTGTCGATGTCTAGTCAGTATGACTTCCACGGCTGGAGACATGCCATGCTTTGGTGGACTCTTGACCTGGTGGAGTGCCGAGGCCTGGCAGGTCGTAGCTAACCGTGCCGAGGCCTAATTTGCCGAGGCCCTGGCGGTTGTTTGTAGCTGACCGCGCCGAGGCCTGATTTGCCGAGGCCCTGGAGGGAGCAGTTGGGCCTATGCACAGATTCCGAGGCTATAGTGACCCGGTTTAGGTGGAAAAGTGCAGGGCAGGATAACCCCTGCACCGTCAGTAGGGGATGGTAAAAAGGAGATTTAACCGCCGTCCTATCGGCCCTGTTGCTATACCCTGCCAATCATGGCTGACGTAGCGGGTGCATTCAGGCGCATTAAATGGATGGGAGAGCCTGCCAGGGGGATGGTTGAGGCGGAGGCGACGAGGATGTGGGATGAGCCCGACCTCGGCAGAGGCAGAGAAGGAACAGTACGTCCGAGGCCCTGCCGGGGGGTCTCGGGCGAGGCGGAGAAATAACAGTACGTCCAAGGCCCTGTCGGGGGGTCTCGGACGAGGCGGAGAACGAGCAGTACGTCCGAGGCCCTGCCGGGGGGTCTCGGACGAGGCGGAGAACGAGCAGTACGTCCGAGGCCCTGCCGGGGGGTCTCGGACGAGGCTGGCGCGCCAACTGTCGATGTTTCGGACCGAGGGGGTCCTTAACCAACCAGTGAATTTGAACTGTGTGCCCCTAATCCCGGTTGGTGATGCAAAGAGACACAAGGTTTATACTGGTTGAGGCAATTGGTGCCCTACGTCCAGTCTGAGAGATCGGTCTTGTATTCGTTGCACCGAAGTGCTTGTAGTAGGGGGTTACAAGCTGGGTGAGAGAGGGAGCTAGTCCCAGGTCTCGGTGTGGAACGGTGCGAGGTGCTTGAGACGCTGCTCTCAAGCAGCTTGGGAGCGTTGATGTTATAGGATGTGTCTAGGGCGCATATGGGAGCTCGGTTCTATCGTATCTTCTTCTTTTTCTCCCTCTTGAGCTATCCCTGGCCGCTTCCTTTTATAACCGCATGGAAGGAGCTAGGAGTACATGAGTGAGCTACACATGGAGCCTACTGTAGTTTTGTCCTGTAGCAGCATGGCGTTGGGAATAGAGATCGGTACTTGTCTGGCGCGCCGTGCTGGTTAGGTTTGAAGTGGTTGAGGTCGTGGGGGTCCTTGTCGATGTCTAGTCAGTATGACTTCCACGGCTGGAGACATGCCATGCTTTGGTGGACTCTTGACCTGGTGGAGTGCCGAGGCCTGATTTGCCGAGGCCCTGGCGGGTGTTTGTAGCTGACCGTGCTGAGGCCTGATTTGTCGAGGCCCTGGAGGGAGCAGTTGGGCCTATGCACTGATTCGGAGGCTATAGTGACCCGGTTTAGGTGGAAAAGTGCAGGGCAGGGTAACCCCTGCACCATCAGTAGGGGATGGTTAAAAGGAGATTTGACCGCCGTTCTATCGCCCCTGTTGCTATACCCTACCAATCGTGGCTGACATAGCGGGTGCATTCAGGCGCATTAAATGGATGGGACAGCCTGCCAGGGGGATGGTTGAGGCGGAGGCGACGAGGATGCGGGACAAGCCCGGCCTCGGCCGAGGCGGAGAAGGAACAGTACGTCCGAGGCCCTACCGGGGGGCTCGGGCGAGGCGGAGAAAGAACAGTACGTCCGAGGCCCTGCCGGGGGGTCTCGGACGAGGCGGAGAACGAGCAGTACGTCCGAGGCCCTGCTGGGGGGTCTCGGACGAGTCGGAGAACGAGCAGTACGTCCGAGGCCCTGCCGGGGGGTCTCGGGCGAGGCGGAGAAAGAACAGTACGTCCGAGGCCCTGTCGGGGGGTCTTGGACGAGGCGGAGAACGAGCAGTACGTCCGAGGCCCTGCCGGGGGGTCTCGAACGAGGCGGAGAACGAGTAGTACGTCCGAGGCCCTGCCGGGGGGTCTCGGACGAGGCAGAGAACGAGCAGTTGGGCTCTCCTGCTGTTGCTGAGACTAGAGGGACCTGGACTTGACCTTCCACGCCGCTTTGTCCTTGGCGCAGGGGTTAGATAGCACAGGCGATCGGGTTTCGATGGGGAGCATGATGATGAGCACGATGGCGTAACCTATTGCGCTCGGTCCCCTGTCCCGTCGGTTGTTCTGCCCGTACTGTACCCGCGTGCGATTGACGTTTGCGGGAGTAGTTGGGCGCATTAATCCGGACGTGACGTTTTGTCAGAGGAGTTCGGTCGGGACGGAGGTTACGAGTTTGTTTTGCCGAGCCCGGCCTCGAGCGAATCGAAGAATTGGCATCCCGTCCGAGGCCTTTCGGGGCGGGGCCTCGACGAGAGGGCCTCGGTGGGGTGGGGAGCTTTTGGTCTTTCGCCTGAGGCCTCGGCGTAAGGCCTCGGGCGAATCGGAAAATCTGCTGAGACCTCGCGGTTTGATTTTTACAAGGTTTAAGTAATATTTTTGGTTCTTGCTTAGGGTACCCCTTCTTGTGGTATCCGACATCTTGTTTCCCTACTTATGAGATTAAACCAAGTGACAGACCAATCTGCACCATGCTCGCTGGATCGTATCAGTCATGATACAGTGTTTTTCTTTCATAACAAACCGCATCAGCCGATTTATAAACCACGTAAACAATCAAGCGAACAGCGTGCTGATTATCTGAACCAGTGCTGGCTGTAGGAGGACTGGAGGAGGCTTTGATCTTTTCTAGTGCTGGTTGCATCTGGGCCGGGACCACGACCACGACCGACCTTCTTGATGTTTGCCACGGACTACTTGTCAACGGTTGCGCGCCGCTCAAGGTTGCACTTATTACTCGTCGTAATGCCAGAGCGGCTGACGTGTGGGCCATCGTGGCCGCCGCGGCGAGGAGATATTCGTTGCTGTCATCGCCCCTGGACAAGATAAGAGTTCTTCAGGGAAAACTACAGTGGCACAGTTTTAGCTCATCCTTCTGAAATTTAGTCCATATCTCATCGGATGTTTGACACATGCAGAGTATTAAATATAGACTAAAAAATAACTAATTACACAGATTACGACTAATTTGCGAGATAAATTTTTAAGCCTAATTAGTCCATGATTTGACAACGTTGTGCTACAGTAAAGATGCGATAAACATGTGCTACCGACGGATTAATTAGCCTTAATAAATTCGTCTCGTGGAGTATTGGGGACTTTTATTATTACTATCCGAACACTCCCATATAACATCCCGATGTGATACCCGATATGACATCCCTAAACTTTAGCCTTCGCCCTGTTCGCTTGGCTTATAAGTCGTACTTTTTCAGCCAATAAATAATGTTTTTCTCTCATAACAAAGCAGCCTAATAGTACTTCCAGCCATAACTTATCAGCCAAACGAACAAAACATTAAACACCAAGTTATGACAAAAGGAGAGTAAAGAGACAGATAAATTGAGATAGCATAGCAGGTGATAACCAGCCACACAGAGTAAGAGGGTGTTTGGTTCTTTAGTCGCTTCCTAAAATTCATATCACATCGAATGTTTAGATACTAATAAGGAGCATTAAATATAGATTAATTACAAAACCAATTACATAGATGGAAGTTAATTTGCGAGACGAATTTTTTAAGCCTAATTAATCTGTTATTAGCACATGTTTACTGTAGCACCACGTTGTCAAATCATAGACTAATTAGACTTAAAAGATTCGTCTCGTAAATTAGTCACAAATTGTGTAATTAGTTTCGTAATTAATCTATATTTAATACTCCATATATGTGTCCAAACATTTAATGTGACAGAAATTTTAGGACCTCAAACAATCAGGCCCTAAAAACCTTGTACAAGATGATGACATGAGAGCTGAGAGAGTACAAACCTTGCTGGCGTGGCGAGCCTACGCCAGAGATTTTCTGTGTGTTATCCCAAGGAGCAACACGTGAGGCCTGCAGGTTGCAGTAGAAAAACATTTTGCGTCATTCCATACATCTGCAAGTTTTTTCACTTTCTCTTTTTCACATTAATTTTTTTAACACATGCATGGAGTATTAAATATAGATAAAAAAATAACTAATTATATAGTTTAATTGTAAATTACGAGACAAATCTTTTGAGCCTAGTTAGATCATAATTGGATAATAATTATCAAATACAAATAAAAATATTACAATACCAAATACTAATTCCTAACCTAAATCTAAACAAGACCCTATTGCCGAGTCATCTTACAGTTTCCCAGTACATCATTCTATCCCTTCCTCTTTCTTTCTCTCTCTTATGACTGCTTCTGCACCCGTGCACACTGCAATGAATTTGCTTCCGCAAGTGAAAGCGTGAGGCCAAAGTGATTGCAAGTTTAGTATTCTCGAGAAAGAAGAAACAATATTTTAACAACTAGTGCTGCAAGCTGCTTTTTTTCTTTCCTTTTTTTCAAACACACCAGAGGAGACAGTAGTGGCAACGCAATGGCATCATAGCATGGACAGGGTGTGCCATCACACACGCTACTAACTACTACATCCATTCTAAACTATTTCTAAACTATTTGTTGTTTTGGTATTTCTAGGTATATAGCATCTGTAATGTATATCTAGATAGAGTGAATATCTAGATGCATAGCAAGAATATATATACTTAAAAAATGACTTATAATTTAAAATGAATGCAGTATATAGTATGTGAATGCGGGTGCAAACAATTAGTAAAATTTATGAGATGGCATGTTATGGATAATAGTTTTACGCCAAGATCTGCATACCGGAGCAGGCTCAACGGCGGTCCCAGGCGGATCAACGGCCGTGGCACGAGCTCGACGACCGGAGACGAAGGGGCGCCACAAGTGGCTGAGCTCAGCCTTGGGATGCAGCGGAGCCAGCTGTTATGTTCCTGCACAAGGACAGAGCAAATCAATGGGTTGTGCAGCATCTATGTCAATTCCCTAGATATATGTTCTTCGCCAGGCTCAGAGATTTCCTGGGATCAACTTGCTGGATCCCAGCTCCAGATCCAGGGTATGATGTTACTGGACAACAAATAAGCAACAAACCTCAGATTACAAATGACTTCATCAGAGTTCAGAGAAGGGCATACCATTTAACGAGGGATACAAAGGGAAACATCATCAGAGAAATTGAGATCGATTCAGGGGCATCTGACCCTTATACAGGTTCAGGTAAATCTTTCGGGAGCCGCAAATATCCATGGAAGAGAAAAAAAGAAATGATTATGTACAGCTCGACAGTTAGACAGGCACATGCATACTGGACTGAACCCTTTCGACCAAATTGCTTCAGAGATGGTAGATTTCACTTTGCCACATTTGATCCCTTTTCTTTTCACCGTTCAGGTGGTCGCTGGCTCCCAGAGTCCCAGGCAGGTGGTCACTGGCTCCCAGAGTCCCAGGCAGGAATAGAAAGGTCAAACCTGATCCATCAGCCCTAGTTTTTCCCAATTACGAGGTTGTCAGAACTTAGTCTAGGCCTCGTTTCTTCCAAATTCCCAACTTTGTTATTATACAAAAAGAAGATTCCCCATCACATCAAACTTGCAGTATATGTATGGAATACTAAAAGTAGACGAAATTAAAAACTAGTTGCACAGTTTGATTGTACTTTGTGAGACGAACATTTTGAGCCTAATTAGTCAACGGTTGGACAATTATTACCAAATACAAACGAAATGCTACAGTGACGCTACAGTACATTTTTCCAGCTTTGCACATCCAAAGTTTGGCAACTAAACAAGGTCTATTCGAAGGCAAACACAATTGCACTGTTGAGACCTGCTATCACTGGAGCTGAGATCTGCTGCTGCTTTCAGGCCAATGGAAGCTCGGGGCACTGTTGTATTGTGACAAATCAAATGAAATGGTCTCCACCTGCAAAAATGAACGTTAGTTAGTATAAGTGAATTCCACCAACTCCTGAAAGAGCAAAGAGAAGACAAAAACGAAAAAGGTTATATCTTGCCATCTGGGATTACTCCATAAGCGAAAGTTTCTGGAGCACCAGTTGACGTTAACTGCCATCCCTCGTTTACAGGATTCTGCTGGACCTAATAAAAAATAAGAGAAAACTTTATTTCCAAAACAACCAAAACAATAACTTCTAGCCAAATGTACAAATCTAATTACATCACATACATTTGTGCCATCAGTTACACTGCCAGTTGCAGTGACATCTGTGTTTAGGGTGTTTGCAGTGGCATTCCTCCTCTTGTTATATGCCCTTTTAGTTTTCTTTTTCAATGTATCAAGAACAGTTGGGGTCGCCAGCTTCTTCTTTCAGGAACGTTTGGATTGGCCTTGGGTAAGATCCCAGCCCTTTGTATTAAGAGAGATAGGCAAAGTATCATCAGTAAAATCCTCGTTCACAGGATTGTATGCAAAGTTGGCCGTTGAAACATGGCTGTAAACCCTTTGATCTCTTAGTGACTTCTCATATGAAATCACTTTATCCCTGATTTCCCTCATGATTGACAAAGCATATTCTTTTGATTCTGAGTTCATGGAACCAAATTCCACAACCTCTGCAAAGTATTGGTGGCCAAGTTTGTAGAGATCATCGTAGCTTCCCAGTTCCTGATTACGTGCTGAGACAGGCTGGGATATGGAAGCACAGGTTTTGTGGAATCATCACCACAAGCTCCTGTCTCAGTACAGTGAGTGCATGCCTGCACAATATTACTTTGGATTGGAACAAACGACACAGGCACCATATGTCACCTTGAACATTATCATAAGCAACTTTGTAATCTACCTTGTTTGTTTGATTGATATGCTCTGAAACTATGTATGTAACCACTGAATCATTCCGGTCAAGTATACTATAATTGCAATGAAATGAATGTCCTATTTCATTGAAGAACTTCTGAAAGATTTCTGCAGTGTACACCTTTGCTGCTTGATCTTCCACAGGTAACCCTGTCAGCATTAGTGGCCTCATCTGAGCTGATCGTAAATCTTCATAATACACCTTTTCTAATTTGCCTTTAACAGCTTCCTCATACTTCTCTACAAACATTTTCAAAGAGGTTCCTGACGTCAACCAGCCATCAAAATAGTCAGATACACTATCACTTCTGTCTGTGACAGACATTCTTGCCCAAAACGAGTCCTTAACATAAACAGGAGGTCAGGAGCCCACTGCATCCTGACCTCATATAGTTTGGACAGACATTCATTTCCCTCTAAATGAAAATGTTGGATGGTATCTTGCCACTCTCTGTCAAAGTCAGGAATAGTTACATAATCACAGGCCAGTGTGGTGAATGTGGAAATAATTTCATCCTTGTTCTCCATTTCTTCCAACTTTTCAGGAAGCCCATTTAAGATGTGCGATAGGCAAAAACGGTGCTGTGCGTTAGGGAAAACCTTTTTAATAGCTATCGCTACATCATGACAGTAGTTTGTAATTATTGAATGTGGTGGCTTGGCATTCATAGCAACAACATCACCAAAGTAATTGTATGAACTGCGTGATTTGGAGTCAGCCCAAAAGACATTCCTTAGCTGCCCTTGCTCATTCATATCTAAACTGTAAAAGAAACAAGGGTTTTGATCTTGCATTTTGTTGAGAAAATCCAACAGGGCCTCTAAGTCTCCTTCTGCCAGTTTCAGTTTCCTATTTCTGTCTATTTTGGTTTTGAATTCAAGATGTGTAGAAGACGACGTTACACCAGTATCACCAACTCTGCTTGAATGTACAAGAGCTGAGGTCCCTCAGACTCACAAATTCGAGGTGGATTTATCGAAAAACGAGAGTTCTTCAAATGCCTCTTAAATTTAAGCAAGCTAGGATCCAAAGGATGGTTGTGCTCCAACTCAAGAACAATTACTTCCCAGCGATTTATGCTGATTTGTACGGCTGATTTGTTGGGAGAGAAAAATATTGTACCATGGCTGATAAGTCGGCTTATAAGCCGGCTTATAATGGCAGCCGAACAGAGCCTTTGAAAATGGACATCCTTCACAATCATCTTGGCCTTGCAGCTAGTCTTCATGTTTCGCTTTCTTGCAGGTCTTGTCACACCAGACCTCAGTCTAGACTGCCCTCCTTTAGAACATATGAATGTAGAGCGATAGCGGAAACCATCAAAGGTATTGTTAGATCTTCTTGTAATACCAAAACCTGCATGATAGCCATATGTGACATAGAACTAAAAGACATCTTCCTCCGAGTCAAATAACATCCCTACTTTTGGTAAACATGCTGGATCTACATCAACTGGTTTGAAGACATCACTCTCAGCAGCATTTCCTTCTCTTTCACCATCTTCTTGCATATCTTCTTCATTTGATGATTCAGTGCTATACTCTTCCTCTTCCATTGGTTCCAAAATTTTCAAGTCAGCCTGAAAATAGAGCAACTGTGTCATGAATTTTGTAGACACTCTTAACAGAACTATTTGCATCATCATATATAAAGGTGAATGAACTGGAGCAGGCAGTGCCATTGGAATTCCACACTACCTATTGTCGAAATATATGTCGTTTTTAGACTTGTACACAGGAAGAAGTATATGGACCTCATTGCCCTTTAATTATTCCATCATTGGAAAAGATGATTCTTTGTTTCAAAAGATTAAAGAGAAGATTTAGCAAGGGCAGAAGAGGAAAAGGGTGTGCGTTTGTATCAAACTTGTTGCTTTCTATAAAAGCAGGCTTTACCTCGGTCAAAAAAAAAAAGAGGAAAAGAAAAGGAGAAAGGTGACAGCGTTTTCCAGAATCCTAAATTATGAAAGCAACCAATGTAATTGATACAATAGAACTTCCTTAACGCGGGAAATACAAGACATGGTTATATGAAGATTAACACAGGAAATTGCCAGAAAGGGGGGTTTTGAACACATGAATCCATAACGCGGGAAATACAAGACATGGTTATATGAAGATTAATAAAAAGTCATTATTAATGCTTAATGATAAATCTGTAAGTTGCACATTTTGTCCATGACTCTCTTACAAGTGGGACCATTAGCCCATAGAATGGGCCTGTCCACCGATGCACGCATACATATATATTTGTGAATGGAGCCCAGCCACCCTTTTGTCCACTCGTTCTCCCCATTGCTTCTCTCTCCTACCAAATCCTCTCCAGAAGCATGCTAGGCAGTTAGGGGCCGTTTGGTATCGATTTTGAGACGGCTCCTGGAGCCGTTTTTCAGCTCTCTCTACCAAACGGCCAAATATGGAGGCGCTCCTCGCGTGAAGCTCCGGAAATCCCTCAGACAGACAACAGGCACGTGGTGAAGCTGGAAATAGGCGGCTTCCTCCGGCTCCCCCTGACAACGCGCGGGCCCGGACTCTTTTGCCCCGGTGCGGGACGGCGACGCCGCCCGAGCGCGATGGTGAGGCGAAGCGCGGATGCGACGTCGTGGTGGAGATGGAGCGCCCTTGCGCTGGCGCGCCGGCGAGGTCGTGCACGTGCGTGCCGACGAGGAGTGCCGGCCGTGCGAGCTTGCAGGCCCGGCGCATCTGAGGTGGAGACATGGAGGAGGAAGGCCGAGCAGCGAGCAGGCCTCTCAATATTTAACATCTAATTCGGACCTTTAAATATTTGACCTTGCACAAGCAAATTCTTTTAATACGAAGATTTTTTTCAGATTTTCTCTCTTTTTCTATATCTAAATATCTGTTCTCACTCCTCAGAACATGGGAAATGACAAAACTACCCACGCCTTCTTATCCTATCCTGCAACCGTTCGCGTTCCTTCGTCGCGATCGCGACCGCACGGAGGAGCGTGCCCGCTTCCGGCCACTCCGGCGCCGGTCGACTAACCGCCGCCGGCCCCCACTCGCCGAGCACCGCTGGTGGGTGTCGTCGCTGCATACTAGTTCTAGTCGTCGCAGTCGCCCTCCACCTCCAATCCTCCATCACGCCGCGCATGCAGCATGTGGTGGCCGTCAAGGATGGGATCCGCCCGGCCAGCCAGCCGCATCGGACGGGTGGACGGCGCGTGGCACGATCAATCGTGTCCGGGAGCGCGCGTCTGACCGCCCGCCGGCTGCGCGTGCGATGTCTCCTGCAGCTCCGATCCGGACATGCATGCCATATACCATATACACGAAGTGGTTATCACACATGCCTAGCTAGCTGGATTTAGATTAAGCTAATACTACTACTAACATCCATCGAGCCCCCGTACTAACACGATGTTAGCTTAGCCAAAAAAAAAAAAAATTACATCAAGCACCGGCCATATGCCCGACGACGACAGAAACCAGGCCGGCCAGGAAGATGTTGTGAGAAAAGCGCGCAAACCGAGGGAACCGAGGCGATCATTTCCGGTGTCCTAAACAGTGTAAAGAGGCAACTATTAATAAGAAATGAGAGAAATCCTTCGTAATCCCTTAGATTGAAAGAATTCGTATGGGCAGGGTCAAATATTGAAAGGTTTGTGAATTGAATGTCAAATATTGAGTGATGTTGGAAATCAGGGTTAAATATTGAAATTTCTCCCGGTAGATAAGGAAGAAAGAAGGACGACGCATTTCTAGTTGGGAGGAGAGAGAAGTAAGAAATATAAGGGAGGAGAAAATAAAATAAAGGAATAACGAAAAAAAATAGTGGGTACAATAGACATTTTATCCTTTTGACTAGCAGGTGGAGTTGTTTTGTTAAATGGTAAAAAAAACTGTTTTGACTCATTGATTGAATCTGCTTCACATGTGAAGCCAAAACTGAAATTGTTTTTGCTGGAGCCGGAGCTCTACCAAAGGGACCCTTAGGCACACCCGGATAGAGCCAGTGCACGGAGAGCGCCTCGGGCTTCCACACAAACTTTGGATCTGAGTGGGTTTTGTTGAGGAGAGGAAACCTTTCCGCAGGAATGGTGAGCTCGAATCCTTGGTTCCAAACGGTATATAATGTCAGCAAAATACAGGATTCTCAATCCTTTGAAACTCCTTTGAAAAACCTCCAATCCAACCAGGCCCTTAGGCTATTCGATATTTGTAGGAGCAGAACACAGAGCTTCATGTTTGTTCAGAACCCGGTCACTGTCCAGAGTCCAGAATGCAGCATGTCAATTGAAAAGGTCAGAGTGCAACAAGAAATAATTAACCGACCAAAGTGTGCTTCAGTGTTTCATTCGGCTACAAACTGGCTTCTGATTCCGAACTTGTCGACACAGAATTTTCGTCCCGTGCTGAGGACACACATAGCAAGCCGAAAGGGTCCGCTCGATGGAGCAGATCCGCCTAGCTTCAGCGCAGGGATCCTGCGCAATCCTCTCGAGACGTGCCAGTCAATTTGACCTTGCAATTGACAAGGAGAGAAAGTTCATCAGTAATTAAGGGCGGAACTTGCCGGTGTTGACAGAGAGTCCCGAATGTGCGGTTATGAGAGCCGATACGAGAGGAGATCGACTAAATAGTTGATTCCAGCATATTTATAAGAATGAATCGATTAAAGCTTATTGGGTTGTATAAGAGGAATCGGTTATCATTCAGGGTAAATGTCATCATTTAAACAAATATTAATCAATGGCAATAAGATGTCAACAATGATCGGTTTATGCTGAGCCAATGATTACAAGTAACCGAACCCCTTTTTATATAAAGAAACAATTCAACACCATTCAACCGTTTAATAAAGATAAATCTAGTGAACATGTTATATCTCATCTATTACTATGACCAATGGGGTATGAGGCAGAATCATGCAGGTCGTAGAAATAGCAATAGACTTGATGACCCTAACTTATTACTAATATCAGTGGGGCATGAGGCAGAATCATACAGCCGTAATACAATAATAAGATCATGGGGCTAACACGTCTTTCAACCTATCTTTAATTCAACGGTCTCATGATGCGAACTGTTCGTGAAAGCTTTCAATATCGGCTAAAACAACCGATTCAAGTATAGCGCACAGTTAGGGTCATGCCTTATCAGGAATAGATCTACTAAATAACGATCCCCACTCCACGGTGCTAACAGTGGGGTGTGAGGCAGAATCACACAGGCCATGATAACGGGCCATGGAACGGTTTTCGCTAGCTAATAAATTTACTCAAGACGCAATATGCCTTAACCACACGCTATGCACGATTAAGATTGATACAAAACAGCCGATAAAAACATAACTCATCGTTT